GCTCCATTCCCATGGGGTCACATGGGGTCAGGGAGCCGGGCTTTATTTGCTGAAGCCCTGAGGGGTGAGGTGTTTAAGTGGAGACGTATTTCGGACATATGGAATCATTGCTGTATTTTAGAATTTGGGCTCTGAGAATTATACTATCTTTTAAGTAAGAAATTTATTGAAAATGAGAAGTACCATTGGCCCTCCGTGTCTGTAAATTCTGTATTCATGGATTCAAAAATATTTATTCAAAAATATTTTTTAAAATTTCAGAAAGTTCCAAAAAAACAAAACTTGAATTTGCTGCGCAGTAGCCACTGTTTATATAGCATTTAAATTGTATTAGGTATTATCAGTAATCTAGAGATGATGTAAACTATATGGGAGGATGTATGTTATATGCAAATATTATGACATTTTATATAAGGGACTTGAGCATCCTTGGATTTTATATCAGGAAGGATTCTGGAACCAATCTCCCTCAGATACTGAGGGATGACTGTATTTAGTGTTATTGTTGCTTTAAAAGTGTCAGCTTTTAAAGTGTCTAGGTATTATTTTGAAACATGGCTGATGGATTGGTGGTGAACAAGACACAAATGCTAATAGAAAACATGGCTCAGGAACCCATCACAGGATTTCTAAGAGGGGAGAATCCCAAGGAGTCATTTGAATTCCCTGTGTATGTGCCCCCATCTCCACCCCTCCCACTCTAATCGTCTCAATTTCCGGGCTTTAAAATGGCACTGACTGTACACAGTACAACCGACTAGAGTAGTAACTGTCTAATACAATAAACAGCAAAGCAGTATGTGGTTTATTTGAAAAAATGTAAACTTCAGAGCCCCACTGCCACCTACTAACCAGTGTGACTTTAGGAGGGTTGTTTAAACTCCCTGGACCTCAGTTTCCTCATCTATAGAATGGGGGCAATAATACTTCTTTAAAATTTGTTGTGAAGTTTAAATAAAACATACATCTCAGCAGCTTAGCCCATAGTGAACAATCAGTTAACAGTTTTTATTCTTTTTGTGTGTGTGTGTGTGGTTTGAGGCTAATTTTTCTCTAGTTCTTTACCAGTGTTGGTGCATTCCTGTTGTCCCTACATTACCTTTTCTAGAGTCACACAACATGAAAAATGTGTAACTCATTTCTAGCACTGTCTTTCCCTGTTGGTTAATTAATTATTTTAGTTACTTTGGATGCCAAAGGATTACGCTCTTTAGGAATCTGAGTCTTTTGGCCCACGTGGGATTTGAATTCCCCATGCCTTTTGATTCATGGGAATTCTAAGATGACTGAGTACTCAAAAGTAAATAATCATGGTCTCATAACCACCAGCCAGTGGGTTTTGTTTTTTTTTTTTTTGCTCTAGATCTATTTCCTGAAGAGAATGCATCACACAATGGTATTTCTACGTTTGTTGCTTTCTCCATCACGGAGAATACCCAAATCCTTTGCTGGGCTGATCTATATCCAGGTTAGAGACAGCTGAACATGCCTGCCATAGACAGAATTATGTTTCCCTAAAAGCCATATATTGAAGTCCTAACTACCCCCCCATGTGATTATATTTGGAGATAATTAGGTTAGATGAGGTCAGGAGGGTGGGACCCTCATGACGGGATTTGTGCACTTATAAGAAGAGGCACCAGAGAACTTTGCCATGAGAGGGTGTAGTAAGAAGGTGGTGGGCTAGAAGCCAGGAAGCAGGACCTCTTCAGGGAACCCTGTTGGCTGGAACCTTGACTGGGGACTTCTGTCCTCCATAGCTGTGAGAAACAAGTTCGTGTGTTTAAGCCACTCACGCTATGGTATTTTGTTAGATTAGATTAAGATAATGACCACCCATATTGCTCCCCAAGCCGACTGTACAGTGAAAATGGGGAATTAAAACCCAAATACTGCTCTTTTATTCGAAAACTAGCTATAGGGGTCAAATTTCATTGTATGTTGATCTGTTGTTCTGAAAATAACTGATATATTCTATACATAAAATATGTGTGCTATGCCTCATAATACAAGTGCTAGTCATTCAAAGATCTAAGTGTTTGGAGGCAGGGTCTGCTATATATGGATGTGTGTGTATATATATGTATATATATATGTATGTATGTATGTATATGTGTGTGTGTGTGTGTGTGTGTGTATATCGCAGACCCTTGAATAATGTGGGATTAGGGGCACCAACCCTCCCCGCAGTCGAGAATCTGAGTATAACTTCACAGTTGGCCCTCTGTATCTGCGATTCTACAACATGGACTCGAACCACCCCAGGTCATGTAGTACTGTAGTATATATATTTAATGAAAAAGCATCTGCATTTAAGTGGACCAACACAATTCAAGCCCATGTTATCCAAGGGCCCTCTGTATATGCATATAGGTGTATATAACAAACAAATTAACATAGGCAATCCAAATAAGCCACCAGTAATAAGAATAAGAGTGCTAATGATAATACTAATAATAAAAATGACTTCCTACCTATTGAATGCCTCATATGGCCAGATGTTGTGTTAAGTGCTATACAAATATTATACTATTCAAATTAATATGCACGAATCCTGACGAAAGTATTGTACTCTTTCAGATAAGGAAACTGAGGATCAGAGAGGCTGACTAATTTGCCCAATGTCACACAGCTGGTAACAGACAGAGATGCATGTTATCAGTGTGAAAACGGCCTTGACATTGATGATAATGAGAGGCCTCCTGGGCCCATGAGCCAGGAGACCTGGGCTGCAGGCTGAGGATGAAGCACCTTCAGGCAGAGGTGGGCAAGTGCACAGTTAGCACGGAGGGGGCAGGCAACCCTCAGCCCCTTATTGCCCACTCCATGTACCCCACCCTTTCTGAGGCAAGCACAGACCAACAGGAGAAAGCAGGGGGCTACAGCCACTGCTTTTGGTGACATTGTCATGGTGACAGGGCCCTGTGATTCCACCATTACTCCAGGGACTTATAGAGGCCTCACTGAAGCTCCCAGGGGCAGGCACTTCATTTCCTGTGAGCCTTCTCATTCAATAAACTTGCACCCATCACCAAAGAGGTAATAATAAATATCTTCCTTTCCCTCCCCTCCTTTCTAGGCCAAATCCTTGGCCAGTGCTAACAGGAGGTTGGGGGAAGTTCTTGACGAGGCGCCCCTCTGGGAAAGCAGGACATTTTAGCTGTTTTATGTCCCTTCTCTACATCCTGCATTGGCCACACCACCTTCCTAGTCATATAGGGCCCACTCCCCTCTTTGTAACAGAGTCCTTGAGTTCACATCACTGAAGTCTGTGTTGGTCAAGGTCATGGTTCTTAATTTGGAGGGTAGCAATTTGGGGCCACATTGTTTCTCCCGTCTCAGATACCCTGGGAATCACTATCTAGGAGCTGAGAGCCAGCTTGCTTCCCTCAGGACCTCGGCCAGCTGATCCTTCTCTGTCAGCACGACTCACGGAGGATGTCCACCTTTTGGGTCTCAGACCTGGGCCCTGGGCTCTTGCCAGGCATGTTTTTAGCAGGTTTCTGGAGCCTGGCTTCCTGCCCAGAGTCTCCACTGAAACTCTGGCACCCCTGCTGGGATTTGGCTGGAACCAGGAAGAACTAAACTTGGCTTGATGGCCCATATCCCAAATGTCCTCATTTCACAGGACATCCGGCTTTTTTCCTGCTTTCCTGAGCAGGTCCCATGAAGTTGCTCACAAGTTCTGCTGCCCACCGTCTCTCCCTGTGAGGACGATCCAGGCTGACAGCACTTGATTGGTAATTGAGGATATCC